AAAGCAACTCAGCGAGACACCACCACAGTTGACACAGACAAAGCTGTGAGACCCTGACACCCCGAGGTTATGCAACTTCACCAGTTGTCTGCGCAGTGCTGCCGACGTCAGCACACAGTGGCAAGTTCATGAGCTTAATTGTCAGATCTTCTATATTATATTTCTAAAAAATAGCTCTAAAAAGTCCACAATATTATCACATTTTCAAACACAGGTCTCACATTTTTATTACTGAACCAGCTTATTAGTGCAGAGTCTATAAGCAAAGAGAAAAATCATTTCCCCAGTGACATGTGTCTGACTGTCCGTACACTGGAGACATTTCCAGCTTGCTACGGTAAGATGATGACAACAGTGACCCTGAAGCAGTGTGGATATGGGCACCATCTCATGCGCAGTTCCTCATATACCCAGCCTGGTTCTTAGTGTGGATACGGGGGGCACCATCTCATGTGTAGATCCTCATATACCCAGTCTGGTTCTTAGTGTGGATATGGGGGGCACCATCTCATGCGCAGTTCCTCATATACCCAGCCTGGTTCTTTTCCAGTGTCTTCTCTTTGAGCTGTACCTGATTTTTTTCTTTTTTTTAGACAGAGTCTCACTTTGTCACCCTTGGTAGAGTGCCATAGTTTCACAGCTCACAGCAACCTCAAAGTCTTGGGCTCAAGCAATTCTCTTGCCTCAACCTCCTGAGTAGCTGGGACTACAGGCACCTGCCACAATGCCCGGCTACTTTTAGACACTGGTCTCACTCTGGCTCAGGCTGGTCTTGAACCTGTGAGCTCAGGCTATCCATCTGCCTTGGCCTCCCAAAGTGCTAGGATTACAGATGTGAGCCAATGCACCTGGTCCTGTGCCTGATTTTATTACCAGTTTTCATTTGAATCCACTGTGGAATGGGAGGAGTTTGTTTTTGTTTCTTGGTCAGAAACCACTTGATTTCTAAGTCTTGTGAGAGGCCATGGTGAGAAGTGGAGTTAATCACACACCACAATGGTTAAGAAGGAGGAGAGGTATTATCACATTAAAAAAATTATAATAATTCTTTAATACCATCAAATATCCTCAACTGTGTTCAGATTCCTCTCTAATTGTTTCATGTTTTAAAACTGTGTATTTGAATAAGGATTTAGTTTTATGATTATGTTGGGTGATTTGGATTGACACAATTTTAAAATTATAGTTACATCTAGTATAAAATTTGTGATTTTGATGTACAATTCAGTAGTATCATTACATTCACAGTGTACAACCATCACCACATGTAAAGCCTTCACATGTGGGTGACTTGAACCTTGAGTGTCCTTTAATCTGTAAGTTTTCCCTTTGTTCTTCTGTTTCCCTTATAATTTACCTGTTGAAAAAAAATCAGCTTATTTCTCCTATATGGTTTCCCACAATCTGGAATTTATAATTTTCGTAACTGTGGTATGTTTAACATGTTCCTCTGACCCCTGTATTTCCTGTAAATTGGTTTTTGGATTTAGAGCTTTAATTAGATTCAGGTTATTTATTTACCGTTTTGGCAAAGCTACAGGCCAGGTGTTTCACAGATTTCCATAAGGCAGAAGGTAATGCCCGCTTGTTTCTTTCTTTGTGATGTGATTATGCCTCGATTCTTTGATTCTTAGGGGTACAAAATGGTGATACTCAAATTCTATGGTTTTTACTTATTGGCTAAAATAACATCCCTAGAGGAAAGAGGAGCACAGGGTTCCCTTATATGGAGTTTACTCGATTAGTGGGAACAGAATATTTCATCACTTATAGTACCTTATTTATCAAGCAGAATTTTATTTTATTGTGATTTGTTTTCAAACAAAAGAGAGTTTTGTGGTGGTGTAGTATTTGCTTTTATGTTCATATGGAGTACAGAATATGCTCAAGACTAAAGTAGCATTTGAGAAAGTGTTAAAAACTATTTCTCTATGATAATATAAGTAAAATCTTCACTCCCCAAAGTCATCTGTTACTACAATTCCCTTTTGCTAAAAGGTGCTGAGGAGTCTTCATCTGGGAGGAAATC